TTTTTTTTTTTTTTTTGGTACTGGGGATTGAACTTGGAGGCACTAGACCACTGAGACACACCTCCAGCCCTATTTTGTATTTTATTTAGACACAGGGTCTCACTGAGTTGCTTAGCACTTCACTTTTGCTGAGGCTGGCTTTGAACTGTTGATCCTCTTGCCTCAGCCTCCAGACTCACTGGGATTACAGGCCTGCGCCACCATGTCCAGCCCAAACCTCAGCTTGAAGGTGAGAACTGGCACTCTTTGTTCCTTTCTCTCAGGAGGAAGCATGCTTGTCATGGGGAGAGGGTCTCCAAGGTAGGAGGTGACTTGGAGTTTTAAGCAACGAGTTGGAGGGACAGGAAATGGGTGGTGGAGTCACTCCAGTGGGCTGCTCCTGGACAGATGGGAGCCCCATGCAACTGCAGGTGGCACAAGGGGCATCTTTCTGAGCAAAAGTTCTACCCAAGTAGTGATCCCTATCAAAAAGGCAAGGCATCACCTGAATACAATTACCTGCTAAGAATCTGGAAGTTGCTATTTCAAATAAGCTCCTGACTATTTCTCAGCCGTTTCCCCTCCGCTCCTAGTACCCTCAGGGAAAGCCCCTCTCTGCTGGGACTTTGGAAGCCATGTGCAGGTGTGTAGGAAGAGGGGGCAGGAGAGCTGGAAGAATACACTTAAAAAAATTGCCTTGCAAATACAGGTCTGTCCTGTCTTTAACTGCAAGGGTTGCTTTCTAACTTTGAGCTACTGATTGTGTAAGTAATGACTGAACAAAAGAACACGAGCTGGGAAGCAATGGTGGTGACCAAAGCCTCCTGGGAGACAAAGTCAAATCCAATTTTGCAGAAACATCCTCGACAGCCTCCCACTTCCTGTCTTCCTCCCCTGCATTCCTTCCTTCCAATGTTAAGTGCCCAAGGAACACTTGTTGAATAAATGTGTGAAAGTGCTGCTTTTCCGATCCTTGTGTGTTAGGAAATAGACACAAGGGAGAAATATTACTCTTCTGCAGTTGACAGAACATCAAATATATGTGTGCCCAAGATGAGGACTCTGACTCAAATCGGCTTTACAAAGTGTCCATCAGTAATTTTGACTGCCAACTAATCATATGAGTAAGTTGGCTAAGGAGATTCATTTTAACACAGGAAACATTTCATTCAGGTCCACGGGAAATGACTACTTCACAAAACATTCCGTCTGCACTCTGCACTCTGCCGTGCATTTGGAGGGCCTGCCCTCAGGAAGAGTGGAGTTGGGGAAAAAGCCCCCTTGGCGAGCTACCCGTTTGCCTTCAAATTCACCAAGCTCTGGGCATTCATATTCAACGATGCAATGTCTATTCCAGTAATCTCTGACTCCCATATTCAGCTCTGGAATGTTTAAGGTTAAGGAGGGTTCTGGGGATACAATCAAATTTTAACAATTTTTGGTATTAAATATTTTCCATTTGCCTGCTCACCTGATGGCAAGCAGAGATAGCCAAAATAAAAACACCATTTCCTTAAGCAGAGCTTTAAAGATAAAACCACGAGTGTACTTATCACTGTTCTGGATTCTGTGAGGTTCTAGTCTGAAAAATGTCTTCATGTACACTCACATGCAAACATGCAGTGCATAGTTACGGTACGTCCTGCACAGCCTCTGTCTGCATGAGGGTGCGCCCCTTGTGACTGTGCATGTGTGAAGTGCCCGGAAGTTTCCATGGTCAGAGAAGCTGGCTGGGAAGCACTGGGTCAGCACTCAGTGTCCTGAGCTTTGCAGTCGGGAGCAGTCCTCCTGAAAACCGGTCTTCCCAGACAGCTTTTGAAACTTTAAAACCATGCAGTGCAGCCAGTGAGTCATTGTGAACTCTAACCTTGTGGGTTGGCCCATCTTTTCTGCTGGAAAGTGGCTGAAGCTAACGCAGCATCTTAGCTCAGTGTGGCCACGGTCCTCCAGGAGAACGAGGCCTGGGTCTTCACAGGCACTTTCGGGGGACATCTCATATCTTCCCCACAAAAGACAGCGGACAATAAAACATGAAAGATGATGCTTTAAAAACTGTATTCAATGATTCACACCAAATTATGAACATTTCTAAATATATTTCATGTATCGTACATATATATATATACTTTATATGTATAATTACATATCAACAAAGATTTCTGGCAGCTCTAAGCATGTAAGTAAAACAAAGCTAGACTTCGCCATATAATACCCATATATGCATATACACCAGCTGTTTGAATTAGGAATTTATTTACATCTTGCCTAGGTTATAATAAATGATTATTGTTATATTATACAAACATAACAGTAAAGATTCCTTTTAAAATACAAAGACTGAAAATGAATACATGAAAAAATTACACACATGTACAATATTTATAATTTATAAATGCAAAGTTAAGATCTCTTTAAGTTATTGCACTTGGGCATTTTACAAAGATTTTTATGTCATACATATAAAATAATTTTTGGAAATTACTAACCCCTCAACTACAATAAGGTTGGATATTGTTAACTTGGAATTTTTTTCCCCTTCCAAGAGATCCTAGTAAGGCTTTGGCCAGAGCTGCTGCCTGTAGGTTGTCAGCTTATCCGGGCACTGTGGTACAGGGCCTGGCTGCGCTCCCATGGTCCTGGTCAGCAGGAACCTGTCACAGTGCGCTGCTAGGTGCCTTGGCAAGGTGGGAGTACAGCATCTCTTTTGCGCTTATGTTTATGTAGAGAAAGTCACCTTTTCTTCTCAGAAAGAATCAAGATGCTGCATTTGTACAAATTTTGGTAACTTTCACAGTGTTTTAGGCAAGCACTTAATTTCAAACAGGTAGGAATATTGTTTAGATATTAGAAATGCCTTCTACTGAAGAATCTACTGTACTTTCAATCTACACACTAAATGGATAGGCAGCATATACACCATACAACAGATCATATGGAAAAAATATTCCCAACTGTCATTTATGTTGGGTATTTGAGCGACAGCAGAGAATTGGGTTATCAGGGTGACCTAAGAAAAAAACAGGTGGCAACATCCATGATAGGATGATGTGTTAGGTGACCTGGAATATTAAATAATACAGTTTTGAACTAAATTTATATCAGAAATAAAAACATTTTGCTCAAACTTCTGCAAATAAAGAGTGCCTCAAAGTTATTAGCTGGGCATTAAAATATACACGCTGACTTCCTGCTGTGGTCCTTTCGTGACATTTTTCCGGGCCCTCTGAGCCAGGCCCAGGTATACATGTTTCAGTTATAGCTTCTCAAACTTGAGGACAGAGCAGGCAGACTTTACAACTCAGAATGCACTGTCTGCTGTGAGGTTGAGAGAAAAATTAGGTGACTATCACGGTGCTTCTTTGGATTTTAAATGTGTTTTTCTTAAGCAATATTAATATGTCTTTCTCTTTGTTCCATCTTCTTAATCTGGAACAAGAATTCCACTGAACTTTTTCTTTCTTGGCTAATTGTTTTTCATCACATAAAATATATCCAGTGCTTTAGGCAACCAAACTGTACAGTTTTTGGTTTGTTTATTTTTTAAAGACAACAAAAACAACATGTACTGCACTGGGCACCACTAATTTAAACTTAGTATAAATGCGTAAAAAATTGAGCAAAATGTGCATCAGGTTAATACTCACACACATGTGCAACTCTAACAGCCATGCGCTGCTAAGCGTGGGGAACTGACTGTAGCATACACAGCCAACTCAAGTTGTACAGTGATTGATAAATCAACACTTGCAGTAGAAGGGATCCACTAAAGTGACTAAAAGAAGAGTCATTGAGAATTACAACCTAAATAAAATCTAAGTGTAGAAAGCAGACACATTGTAAATATATAGAGAAGTAATTTTCAAAAATCTGAATCATGCCTCTGGTACCTGCAAGCCAACAAAACCACATCAGACGCAGTGTTAGTTCTTGGAAGTTTTTTCAGTAAAGACAATCTGAGCTGTTCATTGGTTGCAGTCACCAGGGTGTATGTCAAGCCAGCCAAAGAAAGGACAGGAATCTGATGAGGAGAGAATGGTCCTGGTTCACTCAACTTGATCAAATTAACCAGGGATGTGGTCCTTTCAGTGTTTTCAATTATATTTAAGGAAAAAGAAAGAAGGAGGAGGAGGAGGAGAAGAAAAAGCAAACTAATGACCAGGAGAGAGGAAGTAAATAAAACTGCAGTGTTTAAAGTCAAGGCACAGGCCAAAGCATGGTGAATAATTTAGTACTGTTAGAGCTCAAACCTTGACTTTGAATTCAGAGACCAGAAACACAACATGGCAAACTAAAAACCCAGGTATCTAGGGATTTGTGCATCTCTGCATGTCCTGTACAAAATTAGAAAAACAAAATTTTAAAACATGCTAAAAAAGAGGAAACCTACACTGAACAAATCTAGTTTCAGATCAGATGGACCCTGCATCCATGGCTGTGAGCAGGCGCCCCTTGGAATGCCACTGTAAGGGTCACCATGAGGAGGGGCCAAGATGGAGCCTGCTGGCTGGTGGCTCAGCGGGCTCTTTCCCCAGGTCAGTCTCTCAGACTCATCTTTGCAGTAACTAAAGCAGGGGCCTGAGATACAGGTGTCCCTGCCTTGGGGAAAGGGCCATGTTTATTAGCCGTTTATACCCACTGCATTCCCTTTTAGTCCTCCTAATTAATTCATTACTAATTAATAAGATGCTTGCATTTTTGTAGGATTTTATACCACTGACAGGGTTCGATGCTTCATGTTGTTGTTGGCATACATTTGTTTCCAAGGTGATTTCTGGTTAAAAAAAAATGCTTACTAAGTCTGGAAAGATAATGGAATAATTGCATTACCCATTACTAATCAACATAAACAATACAAATTTCTACAAACTGGACATTCTACATTAGTTGTAGCTGCTTACTGAATTTATATCAAGGAAAATCCAGCCTACTCTAAAATATCACCTTAATTTGGCATGAAAACCATCTGCCTGGCTTCTGATATCACACTTTCCTTGTAAGAAAAGATCTGGGAAAAAGACGAGAAACAGTTTGTCTGCCAAACATATTTGCCAAAATGCAAAGATGCTCCTGACCATATGTTTTCCAAAACCAATTGTTAACTAAATATCAGTGCATCCTAGGCTCTTTCTAGGTCAATCTATGCTTCCTAAATCAATCCCACACATGGCAAAAGTGATGGAAACACTTGATGTTATAGCATATATTATTTTGTTCAAGCTGCACTTCTATTATGACAAGATTTCACAAGAAATGGACCCCCCCCCAGCAGAGCCACACACTCTCCTTTGGAAAACTGTTCAAAGTAGAGTCATACAATACAATACCCTTGGCCATATCAAATTAAAAGAATTTCCTGTGATCAGATCAGAAGAGCAACCTTCAAATATAAAAGCGGCTGTGAGATTCCCCGCCCAGTGGTTGTTTTCCCCATTAAGAATTAGGATTCAGCATGCCTTTAAAATCCTTTTAATTAAACAATAATCTTAAATGATAAGCCCCCTCCTGCAATTTATCTTACCAATTAGATTAGATGACTCAATTCATTTACATAAATGAAAGTTGTATTTGATGGGATCATTTAATAAATTCATATGAGGAAACTTATGCAACTTTTTAGAATTTTATCCTCATTGAATAATCACACTTCGGTCAAACTTATCAAGCAACAGATATTTCTCAACACAAAAATCCTTTTTAAAGAATGAGGATGATTTTTATTTTTCATACACTTTTGCCTCTTTCTCCCTATCTTTGCTTCTGTCTCATGTGTTATGTGAGTGTATCATATATACATCTGTGTTTGCACACATGCTACATACATGCATGTATGTGTGTGTAGATCTAGCCACAGTCGGATTCCTCTCTTTAGTTATTACATTTTACTTCCTATTACTTAAGTACAATAGCAAATGGAGCTCCATGGAAAGAAGATGGCAACTTCAGAGGCCCACAAGGAAACTGAACACATAGTGTTAATCTAAAATAACAACAGTGGTTATGTACAGTCAACTCTGCTACAACATAATAAACCATGTTGTAGAAAAGGCTTTAATTTTGCAAACATCAAGCTCATATGAATGATGTGTATGGTGTTGAGAATGCATAAGCCTATTTTTAAAAATTTGTTTTCTAAAGTAATATTCCATGTTCCTGCCACAAGAATAGAGGATGAGCTACTTGCTATGGACTGGGTGTCACTTCCTGAAGACTCTGATTCCCTGGGGTTCAGATACCACTGTGCCGTGGGTGGGCTCAGACTCTTTAAAGCACTAGCAGGACCTGATACTGCCTGTTCTTTAATGTCTGCAGAAGGGTCCAGAGAGTGCTGTCGGACCCTTCTAGACACTAACCTGTCCAGTGGTATTAGTCTGCCAAAAACTCATATAGGAGCAACCACCCAAGTCACTGGTTTTGATGTGGATGTTTAATCTGGGAGGAGAGAACAGGACAGAGACAAGGGACAGTGCAAGGGCACTGTGCCTCCCCATGGCTGTGCCCCCCACAGCACGCCTCTGAGAGGGGACTGGGCAACGCGCAGAGAGAACAGGAGGGATGACAGCAGACTCAAGTGAGCTACAGAACATCAAAACGTCAAGGTGCCATTTGATTTTAAGAGAATTGTATGGTCTTTTAGTGAAGTAACTTTTAGAATAAACCTTCCATTTTGAATATGAGTCTAAACTTTTTCCATGACAAAGTGACAATTTCAAGGAATCATTATTAAATATTCACATTTTACATTCACACAAGACTTATTCGTTAAAAGTTTTATATGCCTTGCTTTTATTTTGTTCTTTATGCAAAGATTCAATAAATTTTCCAAGAATACAATGAGGAATTTTTTTTAACTCTTTGACATTGTTTGAACTGAGACTTGAAGTTCTGAGGCTGACAGGGTGCACACCTACAGCTCTTCTCAAAAGGCCAGACGTCCGCTTCCCTTAGTGTGAAGCCGGCTCACCGCCCTCCACTACAGACGCAGAGCGTTGGCTTTTCCATCACTTCTGACTCTGTAATCTTCATGACACTGGTCCTGAGGCGCTGGGCTACAATTCAAGTCAACCCCAAGGAGGTCACACAAGAACATTCACAATAGGAAAGTGTAAAAACCTATTTATAACCAAGGACGCCAAAGCAACAATGGTGTGAGAGCCAAAGTAGAATAGCACAAAAGTACCGTGTCAAACCCTCAGAGAAAGACGCCGTGGAAAGCACCCTCTGAGCAGTCTTGGTCCATTTCTTGTAAGGGCTGGGCAAATCAGCCTGCTAGAAAAGGACGGGTGGGGGCTGGGGAGTCCTGGCCAGCTGACTTCTGAACACGGGCCCTGCTGGCTGCACTCTGGCTGGGTGTGTGTGCTGAGACCGTGGGAAGTCGTCTGCTTGCACACACACGCTTGACATCAGCTTCTCCAAGGTTTCCACCCCAGCTACCAGGTGTAGGTTTTCCCCCCTCAAAAATAAAAGGAAAAAAGTCAAAGAAGCAAGATGAGACTCGCTGGTGGGACGACTGGCCCTGCTGTCAGCCATCAGTCTTCACGGGTGGCTTCTCAGAGGTCTCTGGGGCCGCTGGCGAGGCTGAGATCCACTGGGCACTCTCCTCTCCTCGGATCACCTTCTCCCACTGACTGAGGTTATCCCTGGGGGCAGAAGATAGAGGTGACGTTGAAAAGAGAATTTCTGCATTCGTCTCCAAAGCTGACCAAACAGCCCTGTGGCCTGACTGGGCACAAGGCTTCATGGCCCCTGGGGTGAGCTGGTTGGGCTGCACCGGCCATGTGTTCACAGAAAAGGCCTGGGAACCACAGAGCACTGGGCACCTCACCCCCACAAGCTCCAGTCTCAAAGACAAAGCCATTTAAGGGTCAGGAAGTGCCATTTCTTAAGCATTTGGAGGGACTGACCTTCAAGGGAGTGAGCCCTTGAGGTGCCTGCTGGGCTGTGCAGGATGAGGAAAGGCGGGGATGGCAGTGCAGGAGGCCACTGGGCTGAGGCAGAGCAGGACCCAGGCGTTCACACTGCAGGCGGGACACAGGGCTCCCTCTGGAGGCCTGGAGACACTCCTCACCACGCTTCAGATCTCATTCTGAATACCGTGTCACACACACAAAATGAAACCGCCTGGCACAAACTCTTACTGTCTTGCTACTGGAAAGCCCTCCCGCAGCCCTCTTGTCTCTCTGAAGCCCTCAGTTTGAATGTCACAGGCAGGTCAGCCTGTAACCGTGGGATGGCAACTGCCGCAGGACCACCAGGGTGCTCTGCATGGCTAACCCCGCAGAACTCCTGGAACACTCCCATCTGGACTTCGCTTTCTGTTATGCAAAGTCAAAATCAGAAGGGAACTTTGACACTGGCAAACAAAACTCATACAAGGCACAATAAAAACTCTTTCCCCAATTTTCTTTTATTGACATGATAAGACACCTTCAGACAAAAGGGCTTCCTAAAATATAGCCTGAAGAGTGCTACACTTCTAATTTCCACACCATAACAGACTCAAGGTTTCCTGGTGCATTGGAAAAAGGAAGATGCTACATTTGGCATGTTTCCTTGAATACCGACGACACATGCTGAATTTTTTAATTCTAAGATTACAGCGGCCTTAAAGAGATTATGTGGTTCAGTCACATCTGCTGCAGAAGAAGGTGTCAGAGCCACCATGATGCTGTGTCCTGCATTCACAGAGCTGCCCACGGAGAGCAACTCCACCATCGGTGGCCAGGGCCACAGCAGCCATGCACTCCTCCCACTTTTAAATATGTAGCACGAAACAGGGAATTCTAAGCTACATGCTCGAGTTAGATTGATGCTCCAATTTCTCCTCAGTGCGCCTGACTTCCACAACGGGATCCCACCAGGAGAGTCCTGGTCACATGCCAGCCTCCCATCACGGCCGGCCGAGCCCTGTGCACCAATCACAGCTCAGGCTGGCCCAGGCTCCGCCCAACTAAGGCAGGTCCAAAATCTCCCCCGGAGGAGCAAGGAAGGAGAGACCCTCTCTCACATAGGAAAACCATCATTATTTTATGCTGCTGGGTAGGCTTTGCCTGTTGTCCTTAAAAAATAATCCATAAAGTAAATCTCAACAGCAGAGAAGGGAGAGCCTGTTCTGGTTCCGGTTCTGTGTGCAGTGGTCGACCGCGTGTCAGTCCTCGTCCTCCCACGGTGCGTCCGTGCCCAGGCCCAGGCCCAGGCCCAGGCCCAGGCCCAGGCCCAGGCCCAGGCCCAGGCCCAGGCCCAGGCCCAGGCCCAGGCCCATGCCCATGCCCATGCCCATGCCCATGCCGGCTGTGGTACACAGTCAGGAACACCATGGGGCACCTACTCACAGGCTTTCCTCAGAGGAATTTCTTTTAAAAGTTAATTAAAAATATTCTTAAAATTTTAATGTTCCTAACTGAATTGAATCCTCAGGAAAAAAGTGAGGGAAGGACAGAGAGACTGAAGCTAGAACAAATAAGAGATGGCTTAAATTTCTTTTTGGAAGAAAAAAAATACTTAAAGAGGAAGGGGCTCCCCATTCAAGTCTCCTCTTTTTCCATTTAAATCATTAACTATGACTTAAGATAAGCCTCTTTCCTAATAAGCATCCATGAACAGAGATTACCGTTTGGACTTTTTAAATAAAAACAGGATTGGGTGGGAAGCTCTGCAGGGTTACAAACACCTCCTGCTCCTTCCTGGATGATTCTGTGAGTGAAGTTTTCATATATGCTCATGTGGCACATGAAAGGAACTATGGTGGCTGTGAGATGAGCTTGGGCATCTCCTGCTGCCACCCCTGGACCTTCCCTGTGGCATGTGGCCTGGTCTCCCATGTCCAGGGAGGAGCCCCCATCAGCAGAGGCCATTTACAGGGCTAAGCAGAGTGTGTTCTCTCGGTGCCCAGCCAGGCAGCACAGGTGTAAGGGGGCATTGCCTCCTGAACAGAAGGGTCTCCACAGCTGACCCCGACTCCGTCAGCAGGCCTGCTCCCCACTCCGTCCTGTCTGAGGTGCGGGATGAACTGCCTGACACCAGGTGGTGTCTAAGCTTCACCTTTGATGGGCGCTGAGCTGCAGGGGAGAAGGAGCTGGGAAGCTGGCTAGCCAGGACCCCCAAGACACTAAAAGAGGGAAACTTGATACCTAGGCAAACCTAGAGCCCCTCAACTCATGTTTGCTGTAAACTGTAGATAAGACACATTCATAAGTTAATGGAATGAAAAGTCCTACATGGAGTCTTGGTTGTTACTTGCTCTGGATTTCTCTTTGTCTTCTAGATCACATTACAGCTTGAACCACTGTACGTACCTGCATGCTTTCAGCAGAGGCTCTGTCGGGGGGAGGATCTGGGTCAGCGTGGTGTAGCAGGGAATGGCCACAGCATTGTAGAACCCAAGCTGCCTCCGTGCAAAGTCATGGACAAGAAACAGAACTGCCCATTAGTGATCTAGTCGACCTCAATTTCTGTTCTCAAGTCTAATAACTATAAAATAAATCTTCTAGTTGTGCTGCATGTGATATTTGGGCTCAACGACTACTACTGCTGAATGCAGTTTAAAATGCATTAAAATACATCCTAGAAATAAAACAAATAAGAAAAAACATTACAAAAGTCTATATCCACTGAGATCTAAAACCCAAGTTGAGCTACAGGAAATATACTGATATGAGTTAGGCTGTTGCTGTTGCTGGTTAAGCTCAGTACTCCAATGCAGGCATTTCAGAGCTAAGTCTGCTGCTCTACAGGTTTGACTTGCATCCAACCCGATGTTCAGGTGTCACCGAAGTGTCCCCATCTACTGTGCACTATCCTTGGAGTGGGCACCTGATGGCCTTCTCCTTTTATTTTTTACCTGTGATAAACGATATTTACTGTATCATAGCTCTCTGGTGTTATTATTCTCTCAAAATGCTCGATTTAATAGTTCTAATTTCCATGGTAAAAATATTTTAAAGAACACTTTATTAGGAATTTTAAATCACTTGCTAATAGATAATACTGCGTCAGACTGGAGGCAAGATGTAAAAGATCCTGAGACTGGTGGCAGAGAAGGCAGGCAGTCCAGCCACCAAGACCTGCCCAGGATGGGCTAGCTCTGTTCACCCCCAGCCCACGACTGCCCAAGTGCAGCAGGACTCAGGGCAGGTTCAGGGGGAATCCACAGTTTACCAATTTCTTTAAAAAACTGAGCATCAAGGACATGCATCAAAGGACAGGGGAGAACAGAGTCCCCGCAGTGCCTCTCTGCCTTCTCCTTGGCACGGTTCCTGTCAGGGCCATCTTCCTGGGACAGTGCCTGAGCAGCTTCCTTCTTAACTCCAGACCTCATGCAGAAATCCCCTGATTCTAATATTTAGCAGGTGTCATGAAGTAGAAAGTCCCAAGAAAGAGAGTAATTATTGGAAAGTAGAGAATTGCATTATTATGACAAAGAATATGTTCATTGTTCTCAATAACTGGAGAGCAGCATAGTTGATAAACATTAGCTGGTCACAGAGATATTTCATCACACTACAAAAGGACTTAAAGTTTTGGCCCAAAGCAAGCAATTCTAAAACAAACTATTCTCCTACTCAAAACACAAAAACAGAACCTAAACCCTGAGTGCATCAGGGAAAATTTTTCAGCCCTCCTATATATTCTATTACGATAACTGTTCAAACATTTGGAAAGGAAAATTCATTAAGATTCTTTTCTTAAACTATGTAACAAGACAAATGCCAAAAGAATTAATAATCAAATGTAAAGTGATGAAACAAAAAAGAAATAACTGGAGAAAATACAGGAGCAGGTCTAGGAAATGTCAGGGTGGGAAAGAACTTCAAAATACAACATAAAAAGCAAACCCCAGGAAGAAACAATGAGTTGCTGTAACCCCAAATAACTCCATGAGCAGGGATACCAGGCAATCCTGTTTGTGTGTGTGTGTTTGTGTGTGTGTGTGTGTGTGTGTGTCTAGCATGCACAAGAGGTATGTCAGGTGCACTGTCATGTAGGAAGGAAAAAATGAACCACCCAAGGCAATTGCCAGGAGTAAACCACTCAACTTCCCTGTCAGGCCAACCCTCTCTGAGCTGTGGACTTGCCCACATTAAATTTAAAAAGAGCAGGAACATAGAGAACCTGTCCAGAACCACCATACCGGGAGGATCTGACATGCTTCTAAGCAAATTCTATAAGTTTTTGTCCGTAACTTTCTTCCTTATTGTGTCATTAGAAGATTGGTAGTTCAAGTTGGTCTCATAACTGAGAAAAACATCACATACACACATGTACCCCATTGCAAAAGCTCTCTTAGAATACTAAAAAATCAACATGGATTACAATGAGTCCTGGAAAGAGAATCATTAAAGTCAATTTTTGTAAAGAAAAAACTTTATAAAATACTAAGCACTAGGCTGAGGTTGTGGCTCAGTGGTCGAGCACTCACCTGGCATTGGGTTTGACCCTCAGGACCACATAAAAGAAAATAAAAATAAAGGTATTGTGTCCATCTACAACTAAAAAACATAAAAAATACTAAGTATTATTTTTGAGGAAAAAATGGACCTGATACAAAATCCATAATGCTACTCTGAAAAAACAAAACAACACAACAAAAACTTAGTTCAGCCAATGACAGAGTGTGTTAACAATTCGAAGTCCTCCATCCCTGGGTTTCAGGTCAGAAGAATCTGTTGACGGCAATGCCATCTGCAGAGAGCTGGGCTTCCTAAGCTCCGTCTTCTGCCACCAAGCTGGGGTAAGCAAGGTGGTCTCCAGCAGCTCCAGTGTGTCCAAGAGCATGCCCTCCTTCCTGCCCACAGGTAGCCACACCCTCCAGACTCCCCACCTTGGTTTGCAGGGTCAGAGCTGGCCCTCCATCCTCGGTGGGAACACCAGCTTTTGGATTCTTCTTTTCCATCCCTCAAGTAAGATTCCTAGGAGTGTGAAAGCTTGTGCAGGTTCAGTCGAGTGGATGGTGGTTCAAGGGTATAGTTCTTCTCCCAGTTCTAAATCCTTGACTTTCCTCATCAGTCACTAGACCTGGGATGACCCATTTGTCCCTCTACTCCACGAGGCATTACAGCTTCCTCTTCGTGAATGATTTTACACCCACATGAACAACAAGTGGACTCCCCCAACACATACCTGCCCCTGAGGGACTTCATCCTTCTTGTCTCTGTCCATCATAGGGATTGGCTGTATTCCCAATTTCTTCATTTCATCGCCCTAAAATAAAGGGGAGGGAGAAATTATTCTCTTTCAATTTTCAAATAATTATAAAATGTTGGTATTAACAAGTTATGCCCTTTATTATTTTTTTTAAAAAAATATTGCTGGATACTGCCTTGAGAAGAAGTACTGGGGACTGAAATGGAGCAAATTATATTCCATGCATGTGTAATGATGTCAAAATGAACCCCATCATTATGTATAACTACAGTGTATTAATAAAAATATTTTTTAAATAAATGTGTGAAAACAATTAAAAGCCTAAAGGCATCACTATTTAGCCTTTATTCAGATGCTCTCCTGCACAGAGTCTCAGTCCTCTCTTGGCCTTCGTTGTGCATCAGTTAGTGGGAGTTACAGCAGGGGAGAAATAGTGAGAGTGGGGAGGAGTAGTAAACCAGGGACAGGACGGAGCGGGCGGGGTAAGCTGGGCTGTGGAGAGGACGACTCAGCAACAGTCTGAGGATGTTAGGAAGGGACACCAAAGCATCACCTAGTTTACAATTATGGTAAAATCTGTGTAAAGATTGCTCACATTATAGGCTCTGGGCTAATTTGTAAGCATTATTTCATGTAATCCTCATGAAACAATATGAGATGGATGTATTATCTTCATATTATAGATTTAAAAAATTATCTTGCTTTTTATTTGCTAAAACTTGTTAAAATCTTCTTCCTTAACATTTCCTGAGTTTCTCCTACTCCCCACTCTTCCCTCCCATTCCTTTAACAGTTCAGTGGTGTTAACTAGGCTTGCTTTCGGAATCGTGAGAGTGGCCTGGGTCTTCCAAGGTTTGCTGAGGTAGCCCTGCAGTACCCGAGAGCAGCAGGCCCTGAGCACTCTGCCTGCGGCCAGGCGCTGTGCTGGAGAGCCACTCCCGCTGGCTGGCGTCACTTTAAGTGTTAACATCAGTGGTTCCAAACCTTTCTCTGTACCATCCTAGGTGAGTGAAACCCTTTAAGTTCTTTGATCTCAAGAATTCTAAAAGTAGTATAAGTAAACAGATTTTTAAAGAAACACCGATTTGAATATTTCTTAAAGCAAGGACAAATGCCCAAAAGGAAAGCAATCATGTGCTGTGGACCAGCTCTGTAAGGAAGGCTTCCCAGGGACAGAGGGCACTGGCTCTGCTCCATGCTGCCAGAGTTTTAAATTTAAATTTCCGTCACAACAGCTGCAGAGAATGGGAAGAAGGTACTGACATAATCAGAATTATCATCAACCAGCTGCCTGGGGCCACGTACTAAGGGCCAAGCAGGCTTTAATTAGATCCCAAGCAAGGTGGCTGAAGACCAGGCTCTCTGATCACTGTGATTCAGACTCTGCAAGGAAACCGGTGGGAAGGGGAAGAGGCCCAGGCCTGCTCTGGTGGTGGCTGTAGCAGGAGTGGGAGGTGGGGCTGGAAGGAGAACTGTGACCCTAGGTGTGCAGATCAGACCTAAGGTAACTGTGTTCCTGCCTCTTCCACAGACTACGAGGGAAGTCCTTGAAGGCTGTGCCTAGGAGCACGCTGGGTGTTTCATCCTACTAGTGGACTCAATATTATCAATGAGCTGGACAAAGGGTAAAGGTCGCCTTGCATTTCTGACACTTGTTGATTTATATTTTAGAACACAAACATAGTTGGTTAAATACAAAATATATTTAGGTAAAATTATGTGCAAAACTAAGTGGTATTTATAGAAAGTACAAGTATTCTGGGTTACACATGCAGTTTAAGCTGGCTGTGATAGTAGTAAGCTAAACATTACAGTTCAGACAAGAACATCTAAAACAATCGCCTTAAATGAGTCTGACAGTAACTAGGTTCTGATACACACACAATAAAGCAAAGAAAGGAAGTCCTGCAAAAGCACACACGCACAAGGCGTAAAGTAGCTGGGAAAAGCAATGGCAGGCACACAATCAACTCGGGCTGTGGGCCTCAAGCAAGGACATTCCCTGGCGTTCCACTGTGAAACAGTTCAGCATTATAATCCTTTCTAGTCAACCTGTGAGTGATTTTTAATTTTACATTTTGTTAATTCTCCTGCCTACAAGAGATATGTGGCTGAATCCTCAACCACACAACTCTTTGCTCTCCAAGTTGACCTTTACACCTCTACTCCAAAAATGACCCAAAGAATTTATCACTCTTTTTCATAAAGTAAATTTTGAACATGCAGACACATAGGTATTTGTGATTCATCTGAACAAGAGAATTGTATTTACTTTCTTTCAGAAAACAAATTAAGGACTACAATGCACATTATTGATAATTTAAATAATTCAGTCAGAGAAACATGCTAACAAAAGTCATGTATGTGTTTGTTTCAGGAAGATCATGAACTAAATTGCACACACTCCACAGAACTCACAATGTGTACATGTCGTGCCCACTGGCATAGCCACGCCTTCTCGTGTGTCTGGGGGCACAATGATTATTCTCCTATTTCTCCCCACAGGTAAATACAGCCCATGTGTTATGGGTTCCTCTTTGTCTACTGCCTCAATTAGATGTCCTGTAATGTTTATTGAATGAACATAAGATCTGCTATTAAGTAAGGGAAATTCCTACATGATTTCTCAGAAATAAACTCCTATATGCTTTCAGTTGAGATTAGAGAATTTACACACACTTTCAAGGAAGACGTAATAGAATAATGATTCTCATTTCATGTGCATAATTCCTAAATCCTTCTTCATTTTTGACTGGTTACATTGTTCTGAAATAACCAGAAACATGAGCAATTATGATAATAAACAAATTATCCACACATTAAATTTTTCCTCAAATACTTTTCCATTTCTTGACATTATCTATGTTAATATAAGAATCAAGGACATACCTCAGCCCAGAATTCTGCATATATATCATTTGCTGTCAATTTTGTAACTGGCCACAGTTTTGTCACAGAGCAAAGATCACAGGCAGTCATCATCAAACCAATTACACGGTCTCTAGAACACAATACAACACTGGTCAGCACAGCACTGGCACATTTGTAGTAAGGACCAGAGAGACTTGTGCGTTTACAGGAGAGGGGTATTCTTCATGATAGGAGAAAAGTAGCATTAAAAAGCAGACACAAGGAACAAGCAGGACAGTCAAATGGCACTGAAGAACAGTGTCTTGAATGGTGAGAACAATAATTCCTATCCCTAGTTCCACGAGGTGTGCATTGTACCTTCCTGTTGCCTCAACATTACTGATGAAACCACATGTCACATGAGCTGTGCTCATTTATCTTCCCATTCCTTGGGACACTCACATGGCTACACACCAGGTTTCATGTTCATGGAAGTTTGGAAATTTAGCACAGTTAGAAACCCTTGAGAGAGAATCTCTCCCAACACTTGGATGTGCACAAGGAAAGTCTGGTATGCACAGAAGTGGTGATGGGCAGCTCAGGACAAGGCCAGAAAGGACCCGAGGTGCAGGACTCTCTCTGACTACATGCGGAGAGTGATGGGTCACCTGCTCTTGAGCTTTGCCTTCTGCTCTTCAAGTGTCCCTCCCAATGTCTCCCCTCTCACATCAAATGAGCTTTCCTCTCAGCTGCTTGGCATTCACACCCATGTGCTCAACACCTGCCTTTCAATTCTCTAAAAATGGCTCATCGTTTCCTTTGAAGAAAAATGATTGAGTAAAAATTCAACAAATATATTCCCTATAATCTAACTAGAATGAAGACTATACTTAAAAGGAGAACCAAGCAGTAGTTAATGAATAATTTTAATCTAGTTCTTTTTAACAAAGCAAATTACATAATTTGAAAAAATATATCATCATCAAAAGTAGGAAACTGTAACCAGTGAGATGATGTCATGATTTCCAGTTCACATTGGAGTTCCAATGAGTCTGCCACCACTGCTGCCATCTGTGTACACAGTCCTGCCTGGGGCTGCAGCCTGGGGTCAGGGGACAGAGATGTGTCAGGAGCACCTTCTCTCAGGTTGGCAGAGGATTACAACCCAGTTGTGCTCCCTAAAGATAAAATTCCAGATGCCCGGGAGACTGCTTCTTCCTATCACCCACATCTTCGACACCTATCAATTACAAAGTTTTCTATCAGCCCATTTCCTTTCATCCACTCAACTATCTATCTCTTTTACAACCCTACTTTTTGTAAGGATATATCTCTTATAAGTTAGAAAGTTCATTAGAAGATATGTATATTCTTCCTGTAACCCACAGATACATCTGAAAATCCACGTCCCTTAATCAGGATCTATAATATTTTCTTAATGGAGTAGTTTATGGCTTAAACGAATACTTTTGTGTTTGGCTTCTAAGGAATAAGTATATTATCCACATTATCAGTCACAGCAAGTATAGTATCTGTTTTCTCTGCATGTAAATTAATTTAAACAGAAACAGAACACAAATATTGTTTACAAATAATTATTTCATGAGATTAAAATAATTTAATCTCATTTTATTCATATTCACCAAAAAAATTCAACATTTCTTTTTCTCTGCTCAATAATATAAGCTTTAATCTTAAAAGAGATTTCTTATTTCATAAGCCTGTAAAAAAGCTTAATAGAATTGGGCATTAAAAACATGTTTTTTCCATTGGAAATCATTGCACATGTAAACTTGGCACTATGAGGGTTAGAAAGACTGATACAGTTAAGTGATTTAACAGCATAACAAAACTTAAAACAGTTAACAGTACTTATTTTATTGTAAACTAAAAAGGAAAAAAATAGAAAGTTGGCATAAAATGCTTTTAATAAATACACTCTGTTTTTATTCCTGATTACGATTAGTTAGGTGATCACTTAATGTGAACTAGAAACAACGTTCTAGCTCTGCTCATGAAAGGAAGGTAGACCTAGCTGCTATGGATGCTGAATTCTTAATGCACTCATTCTGTACACCATGAAATACAAGCCCATCACACTGCCTGTGGCTACACTCATTTAATCCAAAAAGTTTTGAATGCCTGCATGTAGCAGACATAGGTATAGCAAAGAACAAAATACTAGAACATTCCAAAGGGGGAAGGTATACAATAAACAGGTTCAGAAATTCATGCAGCAACTAGAGCTGGTAAAAGTGAAAATGAAAAAGGTTAAAAAACAGAAAAAAGAAAAAGGCCACCACTGGAAGACCTGAGACCCGAGAGACAGAGACGACTCCATCAGAGTGGAGAGTTCAGGAAGACCACGGGAATCAGGCCTGGCCCGCTAGGGGGAAAACAGCAGGGAAAAAGAAAGGTGGGAACGAGGTGAGGCTCCTCCCGACCACTAGGTCTGGAGAAAGTGGCCAGAGCTTGGCTAGCGATTTACTTTTGTTCCAAGTTTTATGATGAGACACTGGAGGCTTTTCCAGGGTCAAGACAGGACATGCTATAGATGGCAGCTCAGGTCCTCTGGGGGAAGAGGGACTCAGAACTGTGAGGGCAGAGCAGACCCAAGACCATCAGGAGAACACTAGGGCAGTTCCCACCAGATTCCCATTCTGCAGCATGTCCTCAGGGACACAAGGGCAGACCAGAGTGGGAGGACGGAGACCTTGGAGGCAAAGCCACATGGAGCTGTGTTAATATCCACAGAAGCTAAAATTCTTTCCCTTCCTTCTCCCCCACCACGTGTTACCCTGGACCTGGTGGAGTTAACGGAGAACGCAGGCTCTCCGACACGTGGACATTCTGGTCTAGAAGCCGCAGTGTGCAGAGCTGCCTTCTGTGAGCCAGCACACTTTAAAATGCTCCATTAGAAGGTCTCAGAACTCTCCAGAAGGGAGGAAAAGAAGCCACAGAGGCTGTGGGCCTTTGGATGAACCACTATGGGCAGGAAGGAAGCTCCACCCTCCCCACACACTGTGAAGAGGTACTTGGCCAAGGACAGGATCCACACCTCATGGGAGAACAGTGGAAAAGGGGAGCAACACCTACCGACTTTACAGAGGATTTCAGGTAGAGGCACAAGGGTAGTAAGACTGTGTTCTTGTGTGACTGTAACAACAGTTGCTCATCCGTGTGAACATCCAGAATTCAAAAGAACAGAGTGGCTGGCACTGTTTTCTCTTTGTCCTGGAGCTGCAAGGTAAGTGCTTTTAAAAAGGTCTCTGGGCACTAGGTGTCCCGTGGCCACAGCAGAGCCCTCTGAGGTGTCCTAGCCTCCTCAATGCCAACTGACACTTAACCACAGGAAAAAGTAAGAAATGCAGCCCAGGTGTAAAGCAGTGACTTCACACCAGGTATGGCAGCTTGGGTCCTAACCTGAAGCAGATGTCACACTCAGGAGAATCCAGAGGGGCTACAGGAAGGGACCATCCACAAACGTGTTGGCTGGCTGGGTTAAGGAAATTGGGAAGAGGGAAAGACTGAGGGGTCAATAACAGAGGGGAGGTCCCACTTCTGAAGAGACAAGGACAGGAGCAGGCGCCAGACCCAACCTGGGCCTGGTTTGTAAGAGATTCCAGCCCCTAGCTCTGCTGCACCACAGGCCAACAGAGTCGAGGCCAGGGGAGGAGACACAACTTTCCACCTCCAGCCCTCCTGTCTCCTCACTGCCACCACAGTTGAGCTACCCAGCACACACTTGAAATTGCAACTATTTAAATATGAAACTACATTACTTGTTCATGTATCAATATGGCACAGAAATAGAAAAATGGTTTTTTATATTTCTTTTATGTCGTAGATGAACACGATACCTTTATTTTATTTATTTATTTTATGTGGTGCTGAGGATCAAACCCAGAGCCTCAGATGTGCTAGGCAAGCACTCTACCACTGAACCACAGAAAAACCTCAGCTCAGAAAATATTGTTTTTAAGCCAAAATTTTTACTTATCTAAGAAAACTCTTGCCATTAGATCTTCAGACTCAGCTTAAAGTGTCTGGGTAGCACAACCAAAACTGTTACAAAAAATAGGGGGAAAAGAAATTTTAAAAAAGCATGTCCTGCTTGTTTATCTTGGAATGCTCACATACAACTGATCAAAGACCGAATTTCTTTCTTTCTTTCTTTTTAACCACTTGGATATTTGATGTCAGTATTGACATTTAATTGACAAATTCTCTAACTTAATACTGATTCCTTGAAATTTATTTTTTATTACCATACTCAAAAGCTTACTGTTATGTAGCACAGACCAGACTCCCAATGTGAGGTGTCCTAAGGACAGCTGGAGTAGGCCAGGAAGGGGGGGCTCCAGGGACTCAGTAAACATCTGTCTCCTGCGGTGCAGCTGGGACATTTTCTTAAGGAAATGTCATCTACCCCATTTTAATTCCTCTATTTTCTTTTAGAATAGTGATATGTAATATCTTTCTCTCTTCAGTTATTATTTTAATGATTCTTCATTTTGTTTGTAAATCTATCTTTGAGGAATTTTAAATCACCAAATTGAGAAATTTAAATCATGTTTGCAGTAACTACGACACATCATGTCCTTACTAATTTAGTAAGTATTAATTAGACTGAGGATAAAGCGGTTTCTCTGAAAACATTGTGAAGACCTACAGAATCAAAACCAGAGAAAGACTTTAGAATCTGTTCCCAATGACATGAACAATAACTCTTCAATATCAACACAAACATGTTTAGAGTGACTACCTCACTAAAACATACTTTAAGTTCTAAACTCTTGATTTCGTAGAACCCCCTAAATGCTGATTCTTTTAAAAATCATTAAGAGAGGAAAAGAAATCATATCTGAATGGAAAATTAATCTTGAGCAAATGTGCACCTTTTCAAGGGATCTGCCATTATTAAAACTTGTGTCGGAGCTCTTCCTTGAATCAAGAAACCTTCCTTTGGAAACCCAAGTACAAGTAACTTCAAATCAAATGAAGACATTCAGATTTATTTTGGAACCTGGTTTCCCCACATTCAAGTTCTTCTGTTTGAGCACAACAGAACTTGCAGACGGGTCCTCCCATGTTTACTGCAGTAGGAAAGACTGATGGCTGCTGTTGTCATGTTTGGAAAAGGCCAGAGGA